TCCTACCCATTGCTCCTGGTGGAGGCAATGCATGTTAACTCATCTCTCCCTAAACAGAGGACAGGCTTAAGGGAAAACCCATTGACTTTAACTAATAGCTGAGGACAGCATTTTTCTTAGATGCAAAAACCTCTTTGTATAACGAGCTCTGCCCCTTCAGACTGAACCTGATGGCAGTTCTCTTTTTCCGGACACAGACAGCCCTCATGTTTCTAACCAACAGATATGGGGGTGGATCAGAGGTTATCTTTCATTAGCTTAATGATTAATTCTTCATAAATGACACCATCCCTCTGTGTCTCAGTTTTGTTACCAGAAGAATATAAATCTCAGAATTCTCTTCTTTTGTGCAAGGCTTTGAAAGCCATAGCTAAAAAGCCATAGATGTTTCTTATCTGCTTACAATAAAATGGGGGATTAAAAAAAAATAACAAAAAAAAATAGTGCTTCTGTAACAAAAATATGCTGGCTACAGAAAAGGGAAAGCAATTTTGAGAAGGACATTTTACATGGTATGAGAGAGAGTCAGCAACTGAGATCTGGAGCACAGGGTGGATGGCAGAAAGAGAGAAGAAAGGAAAAAGGAAGCTTTCCTGCCTACACCTTCAGCATTCTTTCCCCTTTGCACCTCTCAAAACATGACTGGTCACAGTGACAGGGACAGAAGGAGACATGAACTGCCAAAGCTAATAAGATCCTGCATCAGTACAAGCTACAGCATCATTTGACCACTGCTGTCCTGCAAGGTGTCTGTGTGCTGGCACCTATGGGGGAACACAACCGGTACCAAAGTAACACAAAACCGACCTCGTTTCACATCTCGTTGGCTAGAGATTGTATAGTAAAAGCAAGGGATTTTACTCAATATCTCCCTACACTTTTGTTTAACACACATTGCTTGTGCTAGTTTAACCTGAAGAGCAATGCATCACAGCCAGAGCCCTTTCCCCAGACTCAGGAATTCGAACACCGTTGCACAGAGCAGCATCCTGCCTCCCTCCTAAGAGCGTGATCCCTACCTTGATGGAGTACTGCCTGCTGGTTATTGCCAGCCTGTGTGCTGTAGCTTACTTTATGTCGTAGAAAGTATGGAAACAAGGCTCTTCTAATCACCAGTTTTACTCAGAGCACCAGAGGAGGGACAGTCCTTGGTTTTCACTGGTTTCCTCACTCCTGCACTAGAGGCTGGTTCTAAAGCCTTTCTCTGAACTGAACCAGCACAGCAAAGCAGTGCCACGGCGTTGTGTAGCACAGCACCAGCCCCAAGGCACGCAGCAGCATTATGCTAGCTCAGCACATTTCTAGACTATTGCATTTGCTGTGTATTGATGTAACTGCATTAAAACACAATTTTGTGTCCATCCATGCTGTAAACATGAACAGTTAATACCAGTCTCCTTTTCTCTCAACTGATTTGGATATAGATGGCAAAAAATTAGATATGGTTTTATCCCATGTATAATGCACCATATTTGGGTTTTTTTCACTTCAAATAAGATCAATAGAGCAAAAGAAGTCAGGAGAGATATCTAAGATCTTTTGACTCCATAAAGAGATCAATCAGAGCTTTTGGATTGGGCAGCAGCCTAATGAAACTCTTAAAATAAGCTAATATCCATCTCCTCTAAGTACCTTTTTGCATTAAAAAAATCCTGTCCAAATTCAAGTGTAAAAGAGCGAAAAGAGCAAGTAGATTTACTTGCATACTTCATTTGCTGCAATAATATTAAATGTCATTGACAGACCCTTTAGCACTTATCAAAAAACACTTCAGAGACAAGATTACACTCTCTATTAACATTTCCTATAAGTGTTTTCCTTTTCACCACTTAAAAATAGTTTGCAGGAAGCACTTGTCACATTTTTAGCCTGAACTCTAAATTAGAAAAGGTATATTTGTGCTGGGTTGTTTTTTTGGGGTTTTTTTTTTGTTTTGTTTTGTTTTTTTTTTTTTTGGCAGGTGCGGGGAGAAGGTCAGTAGACTGTAAAAACAGAGAGGAATATTTGCTACCTTGCTTACAAGTTTCTGTGGTTCTACATATAGACATGAACAATGTTCAGGGCAATTTTAGTGTTCACTCAAGTTATGTCAAACACTTCCAGTCATAAAATGCATAGGCACAGAAATACACAAAGTCAGCTGACAGCAAATACTTGTACAGTTGCTAGTCTTTATTCAACAGAGTCTCAAAACAGAATGAAAGTGAAGAAAAAAAATTACCTTTTGAGGAACAAAGTGGGCACAGCACAAACACACTGCAGACGGGCCATAGGGGACACTTTCTCCTAAGCTCTATCCATCTTCACCTTATAGAAGTACTAAAAGCCTTATAAATAATTTAACAAACTAATGGACATGTTTTTGAACATTGTGGGTTGATGCTTAAAGAAGAGCCACATTGGAGAGCAAGATGGTGAAAGTGGAAAGCTTTTTATGCTGTGGTTATTCTGAAAGGCAGAACAGCATGGTGTGCTACAGACACGGTGTTTTTGTCAGCAGCTCGAGCCCGAGACCACAAAGCAGGAACATACTGAAAGGTAGACTTAATCTTCAGATGCTAGCAATGGTTTGTTTTAGAAAGATCTCTGCAGTCAGCAGGACAGGGGGATCAGTGATAATAATCTTCCTGAGATTTTGCAGCCATTTGAGGCATGCAGGTCCTGAATTTCAGCCTGATCACCACCCAGCCAAGACACATGTTCCCAGGACTCTAACTCAGGGACCAGGGTTCTAGTACAGCCCCCCTGGTTTCCCAGCCACAGCCTCCCCCCAGCAAGGTCAACATACATCTTGATATTCCCAGCACCTCTAATTCACACTTCACACTTCCAAGGACTGCAGCCTAATCCTTGTCCCCTGTGCCTGGCTTGTGCAAGGCATCGTTCAAACTACAGCCAGCTGTCCTCAAGACACAGGGCAAAAAATAAAAAAAAATTCTCACTGACCTGAGCACACACCCAGTGCACTGGAGAACCAGATCTCTTACTGGAGCTCTGCAAGGAAGAAAGTGCCTATGCCACCTCTTCTCCCACCTCCTGGAGCCCCCTCCCTGCTGCCTGCACATCACTTTATAAGCTCACACCCAGTACCATCAGCCCCCAACTGTGTTCCCATTCCTAATCATCTGAAAGAGACTCACCTGGCCATAGAGACCTATCTGTAAAGCAAACAATTTACTTGTAGATCAGGTGTCCTCACTACTGATGACTATCTCTTCATAGTCAAGCATTCAGACCCCACACTATGGATTGCTTATACCCCCATCCCTGCCTACGGAGTTGCTTCCTAGCTGGGTAACACAGGTAGCACAAGTGGCTTAGCAGACCGGCTATTGCTCATTTCAGTGCTAGTTTTCAGGCATCAAGCCTTCCCACGGCTTTATGAACTGGCTACCTGACTGAAATATGGTACAAAAAGGCTAGGAGATGGAGGGCTGAGCCTATGTCCCTTTTCTGAGCCCAGACCAGCCTGAGGGCAAGCAGGTCCATGATTTCACAAGGGGCACGTGAACTGGCCGCGTAAAACAAGAACGTAAAACACTGTCTACATGCTGGGAATCTGATCTTCCATGTGCTAACACCTGCTGTTCAGTGGGGTTTCCTCTCACCATCAAGGGCCTGGCTCAGGCTACATTTTGGTCTCGAGCTCAGGTGTTCAGTGTGGTTTGACAGGACACTTCCATAACGGCCATTCATACATCCTTCCTATATGGAGATATTTTAAACCTCACATGAAGGAAGGCTTCATGTGTAAGGAGGCTGAAGATACTGCCTTTGTGTGGATTCTTCATGTCTCCTGTGAATTTCATAGCTGACACGCTGTTCTGTTTAATTGCCATGGTCACGTTTGTTGATTTGTACTTTTTTGCGATCTGCTGCATATTATTGATTGTCAGCTTCAGAGCTGGTGCTGAAATAGAAGAATATACAGTTTAGTTACCACAATTATGTTATTTCTTGACAGCAGTGTAATCAAATTCCAGTGTCATCGCTCACCCTAGCTGAGGTCAAAGTACTGAGTAAAACAGTCAAGTAACAACACCCAGTTTGATAGCATATTCATAAAACTAAATAATGACAGTCTACAGATAAACCAGACCTTTGCAGACGTGAAACTGAGTTTGATCACCTCATATAAAGGAAATACTGGGAAATATATTCTTCACATTATTCTTACAAATTCTCTTTATCCTTCTGAAAAAAATTACAAGATCTGCAAAGCAGTGGCCATGTAAGGAGAACCATAGTAAGGCTGATAAAAAGGCAGAAGTTATATTGGCTTTAAGAAGAAATCAATGACATATTTATGTCATTGATAATAATTTATGTTGTTATGACATTTAGCTGAGCTATTCAAGCCACAAAGGCTTGAAATTTTTATATTTCAGAACTTATTTACCTACTTATAGCCATGCCATTTTAAACAAACTAGCCAACCCTGCATTAGTAGGAGACAGCATATTGGCCAGATTTTCAATTTAATCCAGTAAATAGCATCTCTGAAACGAAACCTTGCCTCCACGCCTGAGAAGCACAGAGCTGCTCTCAGGGCTGCCGCGGTGCTGGGGACTCCTAACCGAGGGGGTCGTGTAAGCCAGCACCTCCTGGGAGCTTGCCCAGGAATGAGGAACAGTGAAGCAAACAGGAGGCATACAAAAAACAATTTTTATGTTATTTGTACAAAGCAATCAAAACAGAAGTACAGAAAAATCTCTGAAAGCATCTCCTGAACAGCAGTCCATGGGGAGCCCGTGAGGGAATGCATCCCTTCAGATAAGAAGGGGGATTTTAAAGAAATGGCGCATACGTGACAAGTTTGGAGATTTGACCCTCACAGAGAGGTTAGGAAGTGTGAATGGTTTAACATTTTCATCTTCTTTTGGTTTTGGGTGGGGGGGAGAGGGTTGGCAAAGCTTCTGGGAGCCCCCATGCCTGTCCTTCCAGCCAGACACTGCCATCTCCCGATGTCCTGTGACTGAAGGGTTCCTCTTGTCTCCCAGATCAGCATCTTCATGACCCATTTGTCTAATTACGGGAACGACCGCTTGGGGTTGTACACCTTTGCGAACCTGGCCAACTTCGTTAAGAGCTCAACCAACCTGAGACTGCAGACGCTGCCCCCAGTTCAGCTGGCTCACAAGTACTTCGAGCTCTTCCCGGAGCAGACAGATCCTCTTTGGCAGGTAACGACACATCCTCTTCCTCCTCCAGCTACAATCCACTTGTTGAGATAAGAATCTTTTCCTGCAAAACAAAATTAAATAAAAAGCCCGCTTTACATTCAGATATATTATTTCTTCCTCCATGCCTTCTTAGATGATTTAAATTTTCTAGCGAGACCACTGCTTTGTCTAGAAATGGGTTAGCTTCAGGTGTGTTAAAAGCACCTGAGTGCCACTACGTGAAAGAAAATCTTAGAATCATAGAATGGTTTGGGCTGGAAGGGACCTTAAAGATCATCGAGTTCCAACCCTTCCCTCCCTGTCCCTCCCATCTGGAGTTTTGTTGATACATCACGTTGTGTTAGCTAATTGTGTTGCATTAATAAATTGTATTGCACTGTTGGGAAGATGCACAGAGGCAGCCAGTAGCCAGAGCTATCTCAAGGCAAATAATGAAGATTCATTGCACCCCTTAAGGGGGAATCACTAACATCGGATCACTGCAAATACAAGGAGGATTTCCCACCTTCTGAACCCTCATCAAAGAAACAGCAAGGAAAAGGGAGAGCCGGAGGGGTCAGAGCAGCAAACGCAGGCAGCAGAATGGGCAGCAGCTCTTTGAAGAATGGAAAAGGGCTTCTGCACAGACTATTTTCTATCTCTCTTTCAAATGCACAATAGTGCTGCTTGTAATCTCAACACTGTAATTTCCTAATCATTGTTACACACATCTGGCTCTTTCTTATTCAGAATACGATGTGCCACATTGTGCCTTTAGCTATGCAGGCATAAATCCAGAGTGACACCATGGAGATCTGCACAGTTATTTCAGGCTTACGCTGGTAAAAAGGAGCAGAAGATTTCCCTATTATTTTTGGCCCAGATGCAAAAGAAGTAAAAATCTATAATATTTCCACTGAGTTTAGCAGAGCTGCAGTGATTCACATCAGTTAATTATTTTCTCCATTATATTTTTTTAACTTTATTCACTAGCAAACTATCTTCTATTACCAGCCAATACTATGCAAAAGCAGTATCCCTATGATAACTGTTTTAAAGAACAGTCAATCCCAACCTTTTCTGTGGGGTCTTTTGTTCACACACTTTTATTTTGCATTCATAGGTAGCAGAAAGATAAGGAGATTAATAATATCCCACGTTTCTATTTTGTCATTCCTTTTGGGTTCTTATGTAAATTAAAATTGGCACTAAGTCCTGTGCATCTGAAACCATTTTGTCACCTAAGAAAGTAATGCCTTGAAGCTATTCAAACAGAGGCTTCCATTTTAACCTCAAATGAAAACTTGATTACATCAATGTTTTGATCTTTTATTTTTTATATTTTTTTTTCTAATGACTGAATTTCAGCCTCAGTCATGCTAAACCATTATAAACACATTGAATTTTAGTCAAAGGCACCACATAGGTGCGCACCTATGTGCGCGTGGACTCTGAGTTTATGAAATGAGCCAGACTCACAGAGGGAAGGAAATGCAGTAGTCTCACAGTGTGTGGGTTTTTACACAGATCCTTCCAGGATTTGCACAGCTGTGTAGTGCTACTGATTTCTCTGGGAGCCCTGTAAGGATCGGTCCTGAAGGATAACCAGGGGTTTGGTTCCCATGTACCTGAACGCTCGATGGAAGTGCTTTCATGGATCCGTACCCGACCACTTAATATCTGTCAAGAGCAAATTCTCACGAGGAAATGTGGGATTTTACAGCCTAGTGTAAGGCTCTGGTGTTAGTGCTTAACATTTAGATCCTGCAAAGACTGGTGTGCATGGAAAACATGTAGAAAATCCCCAGCGTGATGTACCCCACTGCCTTTTTTCTTCTTCAGAATCCGTGTGATGATAAACGGCACAGGGATATTTGGTCCAGAGACAAAACTTGTGACCACCTACCCAAATTTCTTGTGATAGGACCCCAGAAGACAGGTAAGAAGTAATGCATTTGTAACCGAAGCTAGCCCCCAATTTTGTATCTGTCCGTGTTTTCCGTAAGCCAGCTCCCTGCCACTGAAGTGGTGCAGCCCTGATCCCTACAGGGTTCAGACAGTAACTCCTTCACTGCCAACAGAAAGGGACAACTGTTCTTACAGTAAAATTGCATTCTCTTTCCACTACCAGTCACTGCTACCACAAGTCTTCCAACAGAATAACACCAAAATTTCACAGCAGTCTCTATTGTAATGGATATTATTGCTCTTTCCTGATGCAGCATTTCTTTGAGTAGGGAAGGTTCAACTACGGTGTATTTATTATTTTCAGTTATGTTTCTCTTATCAAAAACTTAATAAAAGGTGTTTTCTAATATATGAGTATCGATCATTTTAGTGGTACCTTCGGCTGACTTCTTTTTGGAAGAAGACTCAGCTCAGCACTGCAGAGTGCAGCCACCTTTGCAGTGAGAGCCCAGCACTTCTGCCACCCTCCCCAGGTTCATTTTGAGAATGGGGTGAAACTCTCCCCAGGCTCACCCCGGTGCGCAGGAGAGGCTGAGCCAGCACAGGCGTGGTGCTCAGACACTTCCCTGGGCTGGCTGTCATGGGCGGTGAAGGCAGAGGACCTCCCGCGTCCCCAGGGACACAGTGATGAGCAGCACCAGCAGCCATGTCCCGGCCATTGACAGCCCCTGTGTACATCTGTCTCATGCACTGATTGCTTTATCAGGCATGAAGGGTGGCTGCAGATGAGAATAACAGAGTCCAACTGCATCGCTGATGGTCTCCGTTAGAGGGTTTTACACTTTCAAAGGCAGTTGACACAGGCCTTCGAGAGGGAATGATGAAAAGGGTTGTACAGCAGCCAGGGCGCCGTACTGGTGCGTGACAGCTGTATAGATCTAATTTTGGTGTTGAATTTAGTCCAGCAGTAATAGGAGTAAGCACCAGAAAGCCATGGAAACATTTACCATAAAAAACTCAAGCTGCCAGGGTGTCCTGTATTAAGTTTGCTGTTAAGTTCTTTGACAAATTATTTCAATATTGTTTGAGACCCTAATTGACAATAAATGTATTTGCCACCTTGAGGGTCTCTGAGTGCCTCAGGGCAATACTTAAATTAAGATGCATATTCTCAGTACCAAGATAGCTATTACTATTGGGGACATATTACAGAAAGTGGATGCTGAGGCATGGAAATAAATGACTAACCCAAGATTATATAGAAATTCCATGACACTGACAAAGAGACAGAAGGTCTTGATTCAGAGTCCAATGATTATTTGCATAGCATAAAATCATTGAAGAGCAATTTTAAAGACACATTTTCCAAAATTTCATTTACCATCATATATAATTTTTAGTTGTTACTGTCAAACAAATAACAAAAAAGTGTTGTTCCTGGGATTTTAAAGCATACAGGTTTGTTGACATTGAAATAGACAAGATCCCTAGGAAGGGTTTTTATTCCTCAATAGCAGACTCCCAGGAAAAATACACGGAGGATAGAAGTGCCATTCTGGGAGCAACAAAAGCATAACCCCACAATCTGAAAACTTTTGAAAAGCTTTTTGGGACATAAATAGTTGAAAAACAAACATGTTCAGGCCAAAGTCCATCACTGGTTACATAGGCACTCAAGCAAGCAATGTCATCAACAGGGATCTCATGCTTGCATCAGAGAGAGGAAACCAAGAGTTTAGAAATGGGGAAAGTTTAATGAGCACAGAAGTCTGCACGTATTCCCTGCTGCTCCCTCTGAAAGCCCCTTGTGTTTACGTATGCCTTTCATCAATAGGCAACTTTCTTATAAAAGGTAATCTTTCTAATTTTCCTGTATGTCTCCGTGTGCATTGATTTAAATTCCTTCCTTAAATTAATAAAGTTAAAGGGTTTTTCCTATTTCCTAATGGCATCTCTTTTTGTTGTCGTAGGAACAACAGCACTTTATTTATTTCTTCTGATGCATCCTTCCATTATCAGTAATCTCCCTAGTCCAAAAACATTTGAAGAAGTTCAGTTCTTCAACGGAAACAACTATCACAAGGGAATTGACTGGTAAGAAGAATAACAAAAAAACTGTTCATTATTTATACGTGGTAAATCACAATGGAACAATTAGGGAGGCATGTATGACATCTTCATAATTACTGGATGAAGTTGTTATGCTTGGCATTATCAAACAGAAAGAGAAACTAATTTGTAATGATGGGACATTTAATCAAGTCCTTAATTTTGTTTAGATATTACAGTAACAATTTTCTTCTATTTTTCACAAGTGAATACAATAGCCAGCTGAGTTACGATGTCTGTCTTCATGCTGAATAGCATCTCTGTCTTTTTGTGACTGTATCTATACCGAATTATACTCTTTTTCTCCAAAAGATTTGTCTCTTCATGGGGAAAAATAAACCACTGTACAGAATTTCAGCCTGTACTCCTATCACAATGTTAAATATTGTTTTCACTATTTTTACTTCAGAAAAGCATTTTTGAAAGGCTTTCTTTTCCACAGGGAACAGCAGCTCTCATCCTCATATGAAAACTGGAGTATAGGACAAACACCACACTATACAGGGCAGACTAATCTCGAGTGGTTTTCATTGCCCGCGTACGGCGTGGGGAGTGTGCGGAGCAAACGAGGCTGAGCAATTAACAATTAATTGAATTCTTTACCCTTCAGGTTGAACCTTGTTTTACTTATTTTTACTTCCGATCAATTTTAAACTGAAAAGATCATTCAAAGCCAAAATTCACATCTCACATTCTGAAAACATCTCAAAGAAAAGATTTGTCTGTTCCACAATGAAATATTTTAACAATGACAAAATTAAATGGTTGACATTTTGAAGCTTTTCACATTTTTTTCTGCAGCTAAAACTGAACTCATTCCAAGCTGGTGAAAGAGATCCCTTTGACACTGAACTTATTAGCAAAAATCACATCCATCAGTGGAAAAACCTAATTACCTGACTTCATGGAGGTTTTAGCTATTACCAGCACCATGTAAGAGCCAAGATATGTTCCCCCTATTCCACTTCTGGTGTGAGCTGAGAAATTCAATTTTGCTTCTTGAGAACCATCTGAAAATTCATCTTTTCCCCTACCATGAAATGGGAAGCACAGGGACATGACCTTTTGGGATAGTGCTAATTCTAACTACTTTCTTCACCTCCCAGGTACATGGATTTCTTCCCCACTCCTTCCAACATCACCACTGACCTCCTCTTTGAGAAAAGTGCCAACTATTTCCACTCTGAGGAAGCCCCTAAACGAGCTGCTTCCCTCATCCCTAAGGCCAAGATCATCACCATCCTCATTGACCCATCTGACCGGGCATACTCCTGGTACCAGGTACGGACCTTGCCTTCAGGAAACGGATGGCGAAATCAATGGCAGGGGATGATGGCCAACATCACTAGGAATTTGTGTCCTTGAGCAAGAATGGGATTTATTTGCACTGAGTAGAAGTGGAAGGATGCTGAATGGCAGCTTTTGCAGTTGGCACCTGTGACACCAATGTCATAAATGATGAAACGTCTCAGTGCAGAGCTGCCACCAGCTGTAAACAAACAGTTTAATCTCAATTATAGCTGACACTGCATAGAGGAAAAGCAGTGCTCCTCACTCAGGGAGATGCACGAGGGAAATGAGCACAGCCTAGCTAGAAAATCAAAGTGCTCAGTGCTGAAAATCTGATACCTCATCCTGTCTTCCAGCTTGTAAATTGAGCAATATGTGGTGGTGTACAAACATATAGAGTGTTTTCTAAAGTTTTCGAGGAGTTAAAAAGAGCTGTGTCTGGTGAGTTTGGTTGTTGTTTTTTTTTTTTTTTTCCTCTCCTTGGAAACAAAATAAAGCCTGTTGGTTTTCCTAGGAAACTCCAGGATGCTCTTTCTTGCCTTTTACTGAGGCCACACCTTTCCATAACAAAGTCCATACTAGGTTTTTAAAGGGACATTTAAGCATACATACAAAATATGGTGTAGTCATACAGAAAAAGGAAACACTAAAATCACTGATAAAACAGACACAAGTGAATAATGTTGCAATAAGTATTTCTGATACTCTTATTATGAGCTCTGCAAGGAATAAAATGTGGCCTAGGGATGCAATTTCCACCCTTTTTAGTACTTCATTTGCACCTTTACAAATGCCAATGTGAGATGCAAAGCAGTAAAAAAATTGTGCCTACTTTGCCCTCATCCGGCAGAAGTGGCACTCATGGGGAGCTGAAGGGCTGCCGGGGGCTGCAGCTGGGCTGGCGATGCCAGGGCAGCCCTCCTGATGGCTCCCGATGGCTCTCGGCCAAGCAGCAGCCCTGCTTTCAGCAGACGGCTGGTTCAGCATCTCAGGACATCACATTTGCCTCTACCTTTCAAACCGACTCCTTCAATTGTCCAAACAGTTGATGTGGTGCCAGGAGAAAGTTACCTCTTCACGGCAGAGACGATGACATGTATTAAAAGTAGAAATGATCATCTAGCATGATAGAGGCCATATGCCCATACATCTCCAGCCCGTGGCTCCAGCGTGAAGGGTGCAAGAGGTGTAGAACAGAGGGAGCCGCAGTCCATCAGCTCTCAGCCGATTGCAAGCTCTGGACTAAGCACCTCAAGAACATTATAGGGCATATTTGAAAGGAGACCTTTAGGACGCACATTTTTGCTCTTCATGGGAGTTAGAAGTACCAGATCAATTTGCTTTTTCCCTTTTTTCTCTTTGATTATGGCTTAATCTTCAGCGTCCTTGTGACATGTGTTTAAATATCTTCCACTAGCATCAGCGATCCCATGAGGACCCTGCTGCCCTGAAATTCAATTTTTATGAAGTCATTACATCAGACCATTGGGCGCCCTCGGAGACAAAGACTCTCCAGAAGAAATGCCTGATACCAGGATGGTACGCTGTCCACATCGAAAGATGGTTATCTCACTACCCTGCTTCACAGGTAATTTCCAAACTGTTATTTCACCAAACTCATCAACTCAGAAAGTCTCAAAATGAGTTTGGCTTCATCCTTAGAGGTGTTGGGAAAAGCAGATTTGGCAAGATCAGGATATTTAGCAGAAATGTGCTGATTTTATTGTCTTCTGATGCAACAGGAAAAGTCTATGAACTGTGGCCACATGGGCTTGATGGGGGATTTCAGGGTTTCCTTCCAGGGTCAGCTGAGGTTGTCAAGGCTTCTGGGTCCCAAGAAACAAACAGCTGCAGCATGAGACATTGTGGGAAGGTTTGACAAATTTATTTAGAAAATGCTGAGGCTTTTTCTAAAAAGAAATTTCTTTCCGCTACCCACTCACTCCCTTTCACAGAAAATTTCACATTTGTTTGATCCCAATACGGAATTAGCTTTTCTTAGTGTTAGAGCAGAAATTCTTTCTTTTGTCTGGTCTTTCTTCAGCTGTTTTATTGAGTTATCTTTTATAATCTTTTCCAT